ATAGACCAAGTTGAAGAGGCCATCAATCCATTGGATGAAGCAGAACTGGAAAATACTGAAAGGGAAGAGTCTGAGGAAAATGGAGTGGAACCAGAGATAACCAAGGAGGTGTCAAATGGTGCAACGAAATTGCCTGGTGAGGCTTTTAAAACGATTTTATATTTTACCAACAACCATTACTTTATTTAAAAGAAGCGACACCAAGCACCAAAAAAGCTGTACGTAAACGAAAATGTGCCCGTAGGACACTGCCTGCGAAACAAGTGGTGGAAGAAGACGACGAAGATAGTGAGTTTGAAAATGGAGACGAAGATGATGAGCAGGAAAAACCAAAACGTGTAAAAGTTATTAAATCAACCAAAAAAGATGAAGCGATGATAAAAAAGCACATTGGCATGGGTTGTGATCTATGTACATATGTGGGCGAAGATTTCGCATCAATGTGTAAGCACTTTCGATTGCAGCATCCAAATATTAAGCCATACGTTCGTTGTTGTGAAAAGAAGCTAAACAAAAGATTTAAAGTTGTGCAGCACGCATATAAACACGAAAACCCGGAATTTTTTAAGTACGTATAATATAACGAAAAATATAAATATTCCAACATTCCGATAATACCTTTGACATTGGAAATATATATGTACATATTTATTAAATCCACATTTTATCTAGGTGTCAAGAATGCCTTAAGATATTTTCGGATCGATACACTTTAAAATCTCATATGATTACTACACATGCCCCGGAAGAAGAACTCACATTTGCCTGCGACCAATGTCCCAAAAAGTATTCGCGGCAGAAGTTGCTAGATTTACACCTTGCATCACATGTTCCTATGAGCGAGCGTACTTTCATATGTGATCAATGTCCAAATAGTCGATTCGGAAGTAATCACTTACTGAAAATTCACATTAGCATGCGACATAGGCGTGCGGTCAATGTTTGTCATGTCTGTGCTAAAGAAATACGAGATAAGCAATCATTCGAAAAGCATGTACGTTTACATTTTGAAGCCAGCGGGCCTCGAGTTAAGTGTCCACGTCCAGGTTGTGATAGTTGGCTTAAAGATGAGGAGAATCTGCGACAGCATATGCGTCGTCACAATGACGAAGGACTGGTATTTACATGTGACCAATGCGGACGTAATTGTAAAAATCGGCGAGCACTTCGTAGCCATCAACTTTACGTACATTCTAATGAAGGATTTAAATGTGAAGAATGCAATAAAACATTCAAAAAAGCTATAACTTTACGGGTAAGTAATGCGTTTCGTGGGTTGAGTTTTATAATATCAATGTAATATATGTATGTATGTAACATACAAAAATGTGTTTCTACACAGGAGCACATGGCGCAGCATACAGGGGAAAGTCTCTACAAATGCCCATTCTGCACACGAACATTCAATTCAAATGCAAACATGCACTCGCATAAGAAGAAAATGCATCCCGTCGAATGGGATGTTTGGCGTAAAACGAAACAGGGAAGCTCACAAAAATTGATAAGCCAACAACAGAGCACTTTTAATTGATTGGATTGTGGAACGGCCTGTAGTAAATTGTATGGGAGTGTAATTTCTTATTAAAATGTATGTATTTAGTTTTACTATACATAAAAATATATGTATGTAAATATGTATTTATGTTAATAATCTGTTGAAAATTGATTTTAAAATTCAACAATTTAGGAGGAAAACAAGAAATCAAGACCCAATATGCCTTGCAACGAATATTTTTTTTCACGCACTTAAGCTAATTAGCATGTACGTAAGTATTTATGCAATGAAATATTTCATCCTAATTTTCGCCAACCTCTAGACGTTGATCACGTGAAAAAACAAAACAGAGATAATCGTATTTCAGACAAAGGAAGGAAAGCTCATGAAAAAATAATAAAAAATTGGTCATGAAACGTTAATCGATGTTTAAAACGTCGTTTAAACTGACATCGAAGCATCGTCAATTTTACGATTTCTGAAAATTTTAAGCATCGAATTTCATACTGAAATTATCAATGTTTGAAAAAATGTCTTCTGCATCCCTAGTTCAGTTAACGCCGGCCGTCGCAAAGAACAGAAACAGAATTCAGCATATTTCGTTTTTTTTTTTTTACAGCGGGACTCTAACCGTCTACATATTAAGAATTCGTTATGTAGAAGGTTTTGAGTTGACATTCCGTTTTACTAACGGAACTTCAAACGTCAATATATTCCGAAGGTTTTCATGCCACAAACTTCGTTAAATCGTCCCCTTATGTCAGAAACATGAATAAGTATAAATGAGAATGTTGGGAAATCAAGTTTTAAAGTTTTTTATGAGACTTAACTTTACGTTCATGCAATTGCCATTGGAAAATCTGAGTTTTGGTATACCATACAACATCCAAAGTGTAATCAAATCGACACATTAAATGTTCGTTACATCAAGTTTTCACTGTATGAGTTTCCATTTGCTGTTTGCTTCTCTCATCCATCCAAGTTCTGTGCAACTGATTCGATTCGTTTGTCGTACAATTATAAATCATATTAAATACTCCGACCTTGAAACAAAATTTTAGTTAACGACATTAGATTTTAGTTAAAATAAACTGACTTTGAAACCGGTAATAAAATTCTCTCCAACCGTTCTTGTTTCCACCGATGTCATTTTTTCTTATACTTTTTTTATGCAATGTAATTAAAGGAATCGCCAGGTGACATAACACGTCGTATCGTCATAATGTGATACATCTTTAATTGATTCATAAACACCACAAATTATTTGTTACCGTTATAAAATAAAGTGATTATGACAATACGACTATTACGACAGCTTGTGCATCCCCTAAACATATTTTTATAATATAATGTATGTACATAATTCCAGAACCTAATTACGGCATGAACGCAAATGTTGAAGTACCTTCTGTTATTTATATATCGCTTTGAGGCTTGCTTTTTGATTGTGTGCCTTCTAGCTTCTCCTTACGGGACGTATTCCATTCGATGGGATGCATTTTCTTCTTATGCGAGTGCATATTCGCATTTGAATTAAAAGTACGAGTACAGAACGGACACTTGTATAGGGTTTCACCAGTGTGCTGCGCCATATGTTCCTAAGGAAAAGTATATTGTATTTAAGAGCATACTAATACTAATATCGTCACCATCAATTAAAAAACCCCTATATGAAATATTTTTTTTTTTACATACTTATAGTAAGTATGTAAAGTATGTTTACTATTTTTTATGAAAGTATAGCTGATTACTTGCCTCGTACCATAAAAATAAAAATTTTGGTATGCATTTTGTAGGCCCTTAAATTTTAGCATAATAAAGTGCAAATTTGAAGTAGATAGGACTTATGGTTAATTTTTTGCAATTTTTTTTGTCGACGGTGTTCTGCTTTTTTTCCATATAAAAAATTGTCGAACATACATACATACAGATGCGTACAACTAATTAGCAACGAAATTCAAAACGATATTGCTTGCAAATTATGTTTATTTATTTATTTTTAATAATTTTCATTTAAAATATATTTCAATCTATTTCAGAAACCATAATAACAAAAGTTGCACGGCTTGCACAAATTGCAAAAAAATTAATCAAACTTCAAAAAATTGTCATCAAAATTTCAAAATTTTTAATTCGAATATTTAGAAAATTTTCGGGTATGCAGTTTTGTAGCCCATTCAATTTTAGTATAATAAAGTGCAAGTTTCAAGTCGCTAAAAATTACCGTTGATTTTTTAGATTTTTTTTTGTGGAGGGTGTTGCACATTTTCTTCCATATAACACATGATCAAAATATTTTTTTACATGGAAAAAAATGCGCAACACCCTCGACAAAAAAAATTCTAAAAAATCAACGGTAATTTTTAGCGACTTGAAACTTGCACTTTATTATACTAAAATTGAATGGGCTACAAAACTGCACACCTGAAGATTTTCTAAATATTCTAATTAAAAATTTTGATGACAATTTTTTGAAGTTTGATTAATTTTTTTGCAATTTGTGCAAGCTTTGCAACTTTTGTTATTGTGGTTTCTGATATAGATTGAATTATATTTTAAATGAACATTATTAAAAATAAATAAACATAATTTGCAAGCAATATCGTTTTGAATTTCGTTGCTAATTAGTTGCACGCATCTGTACATATGTTTTTTGTATGGAAAAATTCCGTAACCGCGTCAACAAAAAAAAAAATAAAATAAAGCGAAACATAAGGATAAGTCCTAGCTGCTTTAAATTTGCTCTTTATTATCCTAAAATTTAATGGCCTACAAAACTGCAAACCAAAATTTTTTCTGGAGATGCTGATTTAAAAGTTTGAAATTTTGCACAAAGTCAGCAGTTTGGATTTAAATGGATTTTGTTAGGTAATCAGCTATACTTTCATAAAAAAATATTTAACATAAAATAAACTAAAGTAAAATAGCCAAAACTTGCTAAAATGCCACGTTCCAATTTATATTTGGTTCACTGCACATATTCCGCAGTTTTTCTTATATGGATGAAATACATGGTGCAATAATTACAGGTATTGTCTTCCCAGAGAGTTTTGCTTCACATCGAAATTCGTGCTCCTTTATTTTTTTGGCGCAGTTAAATGTTGATTCTTTTACTTGTATTTGGCTTTGCTTTTTGTTTTCGCTCAATTTAATTTTTATAATTTTTCAAAACAAAAGAAAAAAACGTTTGAAATGAAGTGAGCCATACAAATTTTGCAAGCAAATGTTTTTTCCGGCTTTTGGAAATACATAAGTTCTCTGTAAGAAGGTTTGTTTAAATATCCCATTTCCCTAGCAGTAAACGTTTTAGTGTGGGCAACAATGATATTTTTTAAATAAGGCAGATCGGAATACGCGCTCTCTGGGAAGGCAATACCTGTAATTATTATACCATGGATACAAGATTCAAATGACATTGAAAATTTAAAATAATAGATTTATTGGCAACTTAAAAAAAACACACACTTTTTATGTGGCTCTTCCTTCAATCAATCAATCAATTTTAAAATCTTTAGACACACTTAGGGTTTTTTTGCATTTTGGTGACGATATTTATGTACATACATATGTACTATACAGTAGTTATAAGTAAAATCCGCTTTTAATTTCAAAAAAGCTTTGAAAGTACATTAATTTAACCTTTGTTTTTTTTTTAATGTATAATACGAAAATGAGTATTACAGTAATAATAAAATTATAGTTTAAAAAACTAAAACCTCCCTATTATAATTGCCATTCGTACTGTATCAGGTATGTAACTTCAGAATAGAAAACGCTGCATCTTTTAGGCGCATCAATATTACATAGTTACCTCCCGAGCTAATAAAAGGAAAGTAAAAAAAGAAAAAGATATTTCAAAAAGAAGACAACATGGAATGCAAGAACGAAATCCTGTCAATTACAGTTTTCATAGGCACAAGTTCATCTTGTAAACGATGTTAAAGTGCAGAGACTTTAGTAGAACAAAAAGATCTCAGCGGATTATTTTTTAAATTATGTATAAATAATATAACAGTTGTTGTTGTTGTAGCGGTGTTGTGGGGTTTTCCGGGCATACGAAGAGATGTTTCGAGTCGTGGGGTGTCTCTCCGCATGCCGGACACTCATTTGGCACATCTGCGTCTAATCTGCTCAGGTATGAGTTTAACCTGCTGCAGTAGCCAGAGCGAAGTTGGGCTATTGTAGTTCTAGTCTCCCGAGGCAGATGAAGCTCCGTCTCGTCGATGTCCGGTGATTGTGTACCTAGAACGACATTCACAGATCTGGAGATTACACAACTCGAGACTGACTCCCTGTGAATGCCGTTCAGGGTCTGTCGATATGCTGACGGGTCCAGAGGCTGCTTAATGAACCTCTGGACTTCGTCCGTCAGTTCGTAGAGATGCCTCCTGACGTGCCTGGGCGAGGGCTCTTCTGCAAGCAGTTGTCTATTTGGGTGACCACGTCTGTGGCTCCCAACCAGAAACTGCTTGCAGAGCATTGCGTTACGCTCCTTAATAGGGAGCATTTTTGCCTCGTCGTGCAGGTGGTATTCTGGCGACATCAGAATGCATCCAGTCGCTGTCCTAAGTGCAGTGTTTTGTGTCGTCTGTAGCTTCATCCACTGCGTCCTACTAGTACCCAGCGACCACACTGGTGCTGCATAATTTAAAACCGGCCGAACTATCGTCTTGTATGTTTCCAGCAACGTTTCTTTGTGTTTGCCCCAACTACTGCCGTGTAGCGACTTGAGGACCTTGTTGCGGCTCTGTTCTATGCTGATAATAGCGGTTGTGTGCGCAGAGAAGGAGAGCAGACTCTCGAAGGTTACTCCGAGTATTTTATGGTTATTCACCGTCGGAATTGGTCTATCAGAGGCAGCGGATTTTGTAGGGGAGAGGGTTAGGCTCCTTGCAGTGAAGAAGCGAGAAAGCTCGGAGAGATACCCGTTTACTTTCGAACACAAGTCAATAATTCCATTCCCAGAGGCCATGGTCGAGCAATCGCCGGCGTAAGAGACAATCGAGACTCCCTCTGGGGGTTGAGTAGCTTTGAAATATAAAAGTTGAACAGTAGCGGGGAAAGGACACCACCTTGTGGAACCCCCTGTTTTATTTTCCTAAGTTTGCTCGATTTTTCTCTAAACATTACCGACGAGTGTCGACCACTCAGATAATTTGCCGACCACCGTTTGAGCCTCTGTGGGAGAGAGGAAGCCTCTATATCTTCTAGTAGCGTGGAATGGCTGACAGTGTCAAAAGCCTTTGACAGGTCCAATGCTGCTAGAATCGTTCTCACAGGGATGGTTACGGTTAAGGCCACGAGTTATCTGAGTGTTTATGGCGTTAAGTGCTGTTGTTGTACTGTGCACTTTACGGAAACCATGCTGATGCTTCGCTGGGGTCAGGTGGTTCGCGAAATACGGGAGCAGCAGGGCCTCAAGTGTCTTCGCTACCGTGTTATCGGTCGATACGAATATCCTTTGTTGGCAGGTTTCCCCGGTTTGAGCAGTGGGACCACTCTCCCCACCTTCCAGATGTCTGGGATGATGAGAGTGGCCATAGACAAATTGAGGACCTCCGTTAGGTACGCTACTCCCGTAGGACCCAAATTTTTCAGCATCAGCATGCATATTCCGTCGGGACCCATGGCTTTGGAGGCAAGGGGGCACAATTTGTTGGCAGTTTGTGCAGCCTTCTGCACACTCGACGCATGGTTTTGTCCACGGGAGGATGCAGTATGAACTACTGGCTAAAGTAGCTCGCGCATCGCTCCGGGTCCGACGAGGCATGGTCGCCGAAAGAAATTTCGACTCTGTCGTCGTGCTTCGTCGTATTGGACAGTGACCTCACGGTTGACCAAAGCTTACTCACACCAGAGGTGAAGTTACAGGTCTTCAGATGTTCTTCCCACTTCCCACAAGCCTTTCCAATCAGAGACCTAAACGGGGTTAGATCGCCGAAACAACAGCCCTTGGTCGGTTAAAACCCCGAGTCATTCCGGTACATAGAACCGGCTGTCGTGGGAATGATGAATAATTTACTAGTTTGGTTTGGTGT